CACAGTTCGCTTAGCCATACCATAGTGTTTAGGTAAATCTGTAGAGATCCGCAATGGAGGTACATTTCCGTTATAAGGGTACAAGTCCTCTACCGCTTTACATAACCTAAAACCTAACCCGAGAAAGAGCGTGTAACTCTAACCTTAATCTTAAGTTTACATTTTGTTCTCCCTTTTCGAACCTGACGGTCCATGTGGCGTGTGAAGTAGAGTTCACCTGTTTCTGTGACCTTGGTATAATGTATGCATGTTGGCACTTAGAAAATTAGATTAACGATGTACTCAACTTCCACCTTTAATTGCTAAAAGCATGGTAATTAGTAACTCTTTCGAACCTGACGGCCCACGAAGCAGATGAGTTAGAGTTCACATATTTCTGTGACCTCAGTATATGAAGGAATAGTGTGGTCAGCACTATACCCAGCTGCATTTACTTTCCCTAACGTGAGTCGGGTACCCATCACAGCTGGGTAAACTCAGGGAGGTCTACTCCCTTGAAACCAGATTCGAACTCGAGACTTACGGGTTAGCAGTCTAGCTCTCTAGTCTAGGCCACTCCGTCCCCTACTTATCAGAGACGGGTGAGCTCAATGATGAAATTACTGACTCAAACCCGGGATCCGAACTCTGGACTTTCGCGTTAGAAGTCGTAAGCTCTACCACCCGACCACGTGTAGTACGGAGAAAGGAAAAGTGTGTACGTGTGTAGCTGTATGCGAGTGTACGTGCGTATTTGTGTGTATGCCTGAATATGTTTGTGTGTATGGTTTAGCGAGTGTATTTTGTATGTATGTGTGTCGTTGCTTAGATGTATGTGTGTAGGGTTCAAGATTGTCTTGCTTAGAAATGTCACACCATAGCCGAATGATTTTCCGTCTCAAATTGGTTTCCTCACCGTCACAGAGTCATGAACATTGGAGTGGGCTGGCGTGGAGTGGGCTGGCGTGGAGCGGGGTGCGTGGAGTGGGGGTAGGGTAATGCCGGAAGAGTGAAACGTGTCGCAGAAAAAAAAAATACCATGGTCTCACTTGTTGGCTGTCGTGTGCCGGGCGTCAGCTTCCGGCTGATTGAAAACTTTCCGGGAAATTGCCGGCATCCAAGAAAACCCACTTTGTCACGGGGCAATCCAGATCGAGGCTAACGAATTAATAAGCCAAGTCAAAGCGAGGCTAACGAATTAATAAGCCAAGTCAGATCGAGGCTAACGAATTAATTAGCCAAGTCAGATCGAGGCTAACGAATTAATTAGCCAAGTCAGATCGAGGCTAACGAATTAATTATCCAAGTCAGATAGAGGCTAACGAATTAGTCAGATCCACGAATAAAGGGGTCATAATTTGGTCAGAACGAGGTCATAATTTGGTCAGAACGAGGTCATAATTTGGTCAGAACGAGGTCATAATTTGGTCAGTACGAGGTCATAATTTGGTCAGAACGAGGTCAGGATTGCGTTAGTGTGGTAAAATCAGATCACATCCGGTGAAAACAAAAATACATTTTGAATTTAAAATCAACCAATCAGGATTGAGTTTTTATCACACCCCTCCCTTCCCCGAATATTTAAGGTTTCAAATTCGATTGACACAGTACACGTTTATTGTAGGTCTCCCTCCCCTCTCCCCCCCCCCCTTAACTCCATTCGAATAGTTTTCTATTGTTTCCTACATTTCCACTTGGTCGTTCAAGAATGACTTCACGCACCTAAAGGCAAGTACAGAAAGGTAAAAAAAAAAAAAAAGGGGGGGGGGGGTGACTGCTACGTGCGTGGGTGAAGGGGACTGAAATGTGACAAAACATGCATTCTGTTCTACTGACAGGTACGAGTGAGTGGGCTGCGAGGGAGGGACAGGAATAAAGAAACATATCTGAAAGAAACACTTTGCTAAGCTCTCCAAAACGACGTATAGAAATTTGGTCTAAACACGCTCAGACCTAGACGCATGTTGAATCAAATATTCCGATAAGATATTCCAAAAATCATACATCGAAAATAACGTCCCAAAAATTGTTCTTTGATTATCCAATGATTCAGGCATAAATAACGACACAGCAAAGGGACATAATTATTTGAAAGTTTGACGGCTGAAGAACGGCAATCCAAGTATGCTTATATTTTTTTTACCGATTATTTCCCTTTAGAGGCGCTCGTTAGAAAAGGAGACAGAGAATGTATGTCAGTGGTGACAAAAGGGGGGGGGGGGGGGCACTGGAGTTGTCTGGGATTTTGTTTTTAGACAGGAAAGTTGGACTTGACACGGAGGGGGTTTGGTTTTATTGGATTTTAAAGTAGAGTCGTCTGGCATTTATTTCATGTGTTGGTGCACATTGGTGCACAATGTCATACTGTAGGCCTTAGGCGAATGTCAGACTAGTGCTTTGTGCTAATGTCATATTTAAGTGCTTGTTCTAATGTAATGCAGTAGTACTTTGTGCGAATGTCACCGAGTACTGTCTTAAAGCAGTGTGTCAAATTTCATGTTTTAGTGCTTCTGTAAATGCCGTGTAGTACGTGGTAATGTCAATATGTAGTGTGCGTTATTAATGTCAAGTAGCTTTGCTAATGTAATATTGTCGAATTAAAGCTAATGTCATGTAGCCGTGCTTGGTCTAATGTCATGTAGCCCTGCTTGGGCTAATGACATGTAGCCGTGCTTGGTCTAATGTCATGTAGCCGTGCTAGATCTAATGACATGTAGCCCTGCTTGGTCTAATGTCATGTAGCCGTGCTTGGTCTAATGTCATGTAGCCGTGCTAGATCTAATGACATGTAGCCGTGTTTGGGCTAATGACATGTAGCCGTGCTTGTTTTAATTTTATGTCATAATACGTTTTGCTAACGGCCACCGGCCGGAGCTATGAGAGTTCCCATTTCCCACTGCTAGCGAACCTTAGGATTTGGCCAAGAACAGAAACGAGACAATGCAACTCCTACCTTAGCGAGTGAACAATAGCCAGAGATGGTACCGAACCCAAGACTTCCAGGCTAGCAGTCACCGCTCTACCAGTCCACCACTCCGCCCTAGGGCACACACCAGCTGCTGCTGTGATACTGTTGGGTCACACGGCACCACGCCGCCCCACGGCACACACCAGCTGCTGCTGTGGTACTGTTGGGTCACACGGCACCACGCCAGGTACCGACGGCTCTACAGTAGCTGTCACTTCTGCTGACCCGTACGTCGTCTGCCCACGTAAAGCCATCACACGGCTGCACAAGTTCTCGCACTTTTGGTTATTGCACATTTGGTTGCGTGCTCCCCCCCTCCCCATGTCAACTAAATCGCACAGTTGCACAAATCCCTCCCCCCCCTCCCCGGGGATAAATTATCTGCCCAACTCGTCACAGAAGCCAAACTAATCTGTGTTCTTATGATTTATGAGAACACTTAACTCACTGTGGTTAAATTGGGTAAACAGAGTGTTGCAATTAAAAGCAAACAATCAATTTATCCCGAACAACAAACGCGCGAGCCTGACGCTGGGGGGGGGGGGGGGTGTAGGGAGGGGAAAATTGAAAGCGATCTCGTTTGGTCTTTTGTTCTGACTCCGCGTCAAGGTAAGCCGCTGACGCCTAAGGTTATTGCTTGATCCGGCCGTCAATCGATTGTTGATGATAAAATCAATCAGACGGCAAAGAGAGGCCAACGCGCGGCCGTTTCTTTTCGTGCTTGAACAATGGGGGTGTGTGGGGGTGTGTGGAGAAGGTGTGGGGATTTGCTGGTGAGGTGTTTGGAAGAAATTAGTGATGATTGTAGTGAAATTAGTGATAGTTTTTAACCCCGCGGTCCACTAAAGCTGCGTTGTTTTTTATATTATTATTAGTGGTTTTGTTGCTGAAATAGTACAGCTTTGGGTAGCACGCATTTAGATCTAGTAGGTAGCTTGAACATAATCTTAAGCAAGTATGTTGCCGAAAGTAGCACGCATATAGCCAAAGGTATCACTATTATAAAGCTTAAGCTAGCAAGTATGTAGTCTAATTTATCGTGTATTTTGCTCGTGAGTACTGAGGCAAGTAAAACTAGCAACGGCTGTATCTGTGTGTAACTATAACCTCGCAAAAACCAGTGTGTATATTGTTAGTGCAACTTTAGCATCTTTAAAATCTCACTTTTATTAGCAAGCGCAATAAATAGTTAGCTATCTTAATGAGACACACGCGTCTATAAAAACACATCATACAGTAAAATTACACTGGCATTAAGTGTAGTACAATTTACTCGCCATACAACCAACGGTAGCAAAAATTCAGAGGTAGCCTACAGTTACAGGTAGCATTCAATTACATACAGCATGCAAGTATTCTGTATTAGCACCTAGTTACACTTAGCATCTAAAACACAACAAGCAACAGTCGTTACTAGCGTGAGACACCCCCCCCCTCTCTCTCTTCCCTTGTTTCTCTCAACTAACGCAGTAGGGAATCGTTTTGGTCTACAAACCCTACAAGTAAACAAAGATTTGTTAGTGCTTTCTACTGGAGAGTATGCACGGGAAACACTTGTTATAATATGCACAGTTCTTTCAATGCTACGTAGGTAACACAATTCTAGACTTATATACAGGGCCGCAATTATTCGTTGAGAGTCGGTAGTAGTGACCCCTGAACTACCTTGACGCAGGGGTCAAATGTCGACCCCCTGAATTACCCTACCACTTGGGTCACAGCGATGCTGACCCACTGAACTACCTTAACGCAGGGGTCAAATGCCGACCCCTGAACTACCTTAACACTGGGGTCAAATAAAACTACTCACAACAATGCCGACTCCTGAACTACCTTAACGCAGGGGTCAAATACCGACCCCTGAACTACCTTAACACTGGGGTCAAATAAAACTACTCACAACAATGCCGACCCCTGAACTACCTTAACGCAGGGGTCAAATGCCGACCCCTGAACTACCTTAACACCGGGGTCAAAACAAACACAACAATACAATCCAACCCGTACACGGAAAAGTAATTAAAATATATAACGGCGGAAAACAAAAACTTACTTGCCCAGTCTATGACGTCACACGGGTCATCTAGCCGCAGCACCGACCTCGAGTTGTCCCTGGTCGCGAAATGCCGAAATCAAGCGTGTCATATCTGTCATGCTTTGACCCCCACCTCCGTCGCACCCCCCTCCCAGCCCAGGTGAAACAGCCCAGGTAAACACGCCGGCCTGGAACCAGAACCGTTAGCTGCAGGAAGTTCTGGAACCGTTAGCCGGTCTGCGATTGGCCGGCTGGCATGCCAGGCAAGCGTCGCGTCGGGCGAGACCGCCTGCCACTGCACCGGGTCACACGGCCGTCAGGTACCAATACGCACCTGTACAGGTAAGACTGGCCACCGTTCTAGAACCGCGAGAGGCTATTTTTAAACTGGTGCATTATTTTATTTTAAATTTTTTTTTTTACAAAATATTTAAGGGGCTGATTCAGGAAAATCAGGAAAAGTGAAGCACTTCAGCAATTTTAAAAAAATGTTAATAGTGTGTGTGTGTGTGTGTGTTTGGGGAGGGGGTAATGTTTGTTGTGTGTGTAAAACGATAGTTTGCTTTAGGTGGTTTCCAGACTATAAGCTCTGGAAAGTCAGGCACTGCTGTGCGGTTTATATTATGATTGGAATAAACATTGTCTTTGAAGTTCGAATGTGAATGGCGTCACTCGTTTAGCGATTGGGGTGGGGGTGTTATATTTGTGACGAAAAGTTTTAGACACTTGGAGGATGCAGTAGTAGGGTGGTGTAAATGTGACGTCCAAGTATTTTGAATTTCTTGTTTCGCGTGGTAGTTGTAGGGTGGTATGGGGGAGGGAGGGGGGGGGGGTAGTGGAGTTTGGGGTATGGGTTGGTGTATGTGTGTATGTGTGTATGCTCTACACATAAACAAAAGCATAAGCTGGTGTGGCGAGATAAAGTTTAGCTGCTGCGATATGTGTCACTAAGGTTCGGCGTGGTCGAATGGTAGAGCATTCAACTACTGACCTAACAGTCTTGAGTTCGGGCCCCTGATTGAGTATAAGCACGTCCCTGAGTCCACCAAACGTTGTGGAAAGTAAAGTCGGCTGGGCATAGTACTGACCACACCATTCCTGTTTATGCCAAGGTCACTCACAGAAACAGGTGAGATCTACTTCACCTGCCCTTCACAATAATCGAAATGATACTTTACATTTCTTACTATTATTTTCACTTGGTATTCCCCCCCCCCCGTCCTATACTACGAACCACACCATTCCTGCTTATGCCGAGATCACAGAAACATGTGAGCTCTACTTCACCTGCCCTTCACAAGAATCGAAATGGTACTTTACATTTTTTACTTTTATTGTCACGTGGTACCCCCCTGTCCTATACGTTACTGCCATACGTCATCTGACAACTGACCAACCACCTGACCACAGCCAGGCAATCGGTCAACAAATCTTGACCCTCAGGTCTGCAAAAGTTGACCCTAATCCTGCAGGTGCTGAAACCACCCACACCCCTCCCCCTTCCCCTCAGCGCCACCTATACTCCTTCCGGTGTAAACAATCAACCAATCGATTTGAGCACGTGCTGCTAATTTTGGTAGAAACAACGTAGGGTGTGTGACGTCAGAGCGGTCAAATCAAGACAAGTGCCTGGTCTGGCAGTTATTTCAGGCCAGTTTTGTTTTGTGGCTGGGACCGTGTGTGTATGTGTGTGGGGGGGGGGGGGGGCGGTAGGGAGGACTGGCGTACGTAGTTTAGGCTCGTTTGTACATAATGGAGGGTCTTAGTTTATGAACAGTGTTTCTTTCAGACTTTTTCCTCCGCGGATAGACTGGTAATATATATATATATATATATATATATATATATATATATATATATATATATATATATATATATATATATATATATATATATATATTTATATATATATATATATATTAGAAAATATATACCCCCCCCCCTTCGCGCAAAATGCCTGAAACAAACGCTATCCTAACGCAAACCGGTAGTGAACTTGTAAATAAAAAATTATTGAACTCACATGGTTAACAATCAAAACAATCGACCATAGACGATTACCATGCAGACTTTCTGAGATCACGTGCTATTTGATATACCGTTGGCATTAAACCACTAAGCGGATTAACATAGTAAGACAAATGTTAACACTATTAGACACCTGACAAAAGATTTCAGCCAACTGACAAGTGTGACGTCACAGTTACTCGGATGAAGTCATAATAGAAAACAATGCAAAGTCATAATTATCATTGCATCATGCCATTTTGCTATTGTCTAAATCTTAATCTAACAAGTATGAAGTAATATGCTGATCACTAAATAATTTGACTTAGTAACAGATCCACCAATGTGTATGTAACTATCACGAATAATATTACAACAAATATCAATGTCGCGATGTTTAGTACTGAAGCTTCGTCAAGACTGCAGTAATTAACTATATTAATTAAATGCATTAATTAACTCTAATGCTTATGATAGACAAAGGCCGGGAATTGGGAGGAAAAAGAGAACATGCAGAAATAACAGGTGAAAACAGTTGCTACAGGTTTTTAGAATCACGTAACACACAGCTGATAAGGCACACATAATATAACATAACGTAACATATCCAACTCACATATAACGGCCGGGCATGTTGGAAGTCCTCGCCGTGTCCTCTCTAGGACCAGTCCTCTACATCTGACAAGTCCTGAAAGCATGGCAAGATAAAATACCAGCTAGAATCATTTTTTTTTAATGGAACAAAAAAAAAAAATCTGACAGAGAATAGAAAAAAAATCAGAAACGTGTCGAGTCTTAGACGCACGGGGCAAGACGGTTCTGGTCTGCTAAGGATAACGGTACATTCTGCGAGGGGGGGGGGGGGGGCTGGCAGGTGAACTCAGGTAGCTGTTGTCGGGTAACGGTTCAGGTATAAGGTATACTGGGTAGGAGGGGGGAGGGGGAATATTCTAACGGTAAAATGATTACCAGAGCTGCGTTGTTGGGGTGGGACGGGGAAGGGAGGGGGGGGGGGGGTTCTGGTATTCTAACGGTTTCTTGTTTGTTATTGGCTGATTCTTTTGGGGGACTTAATGTTGTGGGGCGGGGTGGGGTTATGCTGGGGTAGGGTGGGGGGGGGGGGGGGGAAAGCTAGGCTGGATTGTTTTGATCTAAATGTGCTGACACTTAATGATACCGAGCCGTCCTCGGGTGCTGTCAGAGATTAGTTCTAGAACGGTTCACACTCCAGGGAGGGTGGGGGGTGGTGGTCATGTGTGTAGGGGTCTGCTGGTTGTCGTGGTGGTGGTAAGGGGGTCGGGGTGTGGGTCTGGTGGTTGTTGTGGGGGTGCGATGATGTTGTGGGTACGGGGCAGTGTTGGTAGTGGTGGGGTGGGGGGGGGAGGTCGGGATGGGGTCGGGTCGGGGGGTCTGGTGGTGGTGGATAATAGGGTCCTGCTCGTTACATACAACCAGTTTGTAAATCTTCAAGGTGTCGGCGTGGTCGGGTCGGTAAAGCTCTTGATTGCTAAACCGCAAAGTCCGAGTTTGAACCCGCGGGCTCATAAGTCTCGATAGCTGGGGACAACAACCCATCTAGGAGAGACAACTCCAAAATCAAACAACTGCAGCCTGTAGTTTGGTCTTGGATGGACAAAGGCTATGGAAGCAAATCCAGAAAGAAAAGCAAGCTGAATCACGTTATATATATATATATATATATATATATATATATATATATATATATATATATATATATATATATATATATAACATATAGCTTCTAGTAAAGTCTATTAAAAATTAACCATCGCTTTTATTTCGAAATGCTGGACACAAAAAAAAAAATCAATAGAGAAAATCAATTGCTTTAAGTTTTTCTGTATAATCGATAGCGGGGTCGAATAGTAGATCAAGCCAACTTAACCTTAATTTTCACGTTCTTGAGTCCACCCAGCTTTAACCCGTACCTAGCACTATCTGGTACAATGCCGCTTCTCCTGAGTGAAGGTCACAAAATCGAAGCTTTAAAAAAATACACTCGGCTTTATACATGTTTAAAAAATTTTAATAGCTAGTTTTAAAATTTAAATATTGTTTAAAATATTTTTTAAATCACAAACCTTTAACCTTAAGCAATATTTTTTTTTAATAATAGTTCAGGTTTATTAGATTTAAAACACGAGAACCGCTCCGTTAGATAGGAGTAGCTCCCCTTACCTGTGACGTACTAACCGATATTTTCTATAGAGATCTGCCACTAGGCGTTGCAGAGTTCCCCATGCGGAAAACAATAAAGACTTTTTTTTTTTCTCTACAAGACCGGCTAAATTTAAAAACGCGGGGGCAATAAAATACTAAGCCTGGACACGTAGAGCGCGGAGTAGATAAAAAAAATTGTGTTTTAAAAATATTGTGAGTTTGTGAGGAAAAATAAACTTTAAAACACATCTCATAGCTCGGTGTTGGCCGATGTGTTTAACTTTTGGTGACTAAAATTGTATGTTGATAAGTCGCAGTCATCCAGTTCAGTGGAAATAATTTTTTATGTAATCTATCTTTTTTGCTGTCAAATTTAAATTAGATGAGTTTTTAGTTTGTACTCTGTTTGTTATATGTTTGTGCTAAAATGTTTTATGTGTAGTCTGTGTGTTAAAATGGTCTATGTGTAGTCTGTGTGTTAAAATATTCTATGTGTAATCTGTGTGCTAAATTGCTCTATGTTTAGTCTGTGTGTTAAAATGTTCTATGTGTAGTCTGTGTGTTAAAATGTATAATTCAAAAGACAAGCGAAGTTCTGTGTAATCAGCCACCTGCTTTTTGAATACATTATTGTGTCCTTTTTTTAATATGCCGGATGTATCCGGGTAGGTTTAATAGAACAGGCATATCCTGGTAGGTTTAATGGAATATTCTGGTAGGTTTAATACAACAGGCATATCCTGGTAGGTTTAATGGAATAGTCATATCCTGGTAGGTTTAATGGAACAGGCATATCCAGGTAGGTTTAATGGAACAGGCATATCCTGGTAGGTTTAATGGAACAGGCATATCCTGGTAGGTTTAATGGAATATTCTGGTAGGTTTAATGGAACAGGCATATCCTGGTAGGTTTAATGGTACAGACATAACCTGGTAGGTTTAATGGACATATCCTGGTAGGTTTAATGGAACAGGCATATCCTGGTAGGTTTAATGAACATATCCTGGTAGGTTTAATGGACATAT